GCGAAATACGAAGGTGAGTCTCGTAGCGAAACAAAAGTGGGCGGAAACAAAAGCAATTCCAGGCAGTCCTAGCCAATTCCATCGGCCAGTTGCCAGACTTAGTGTCTTGTCGTGCGGTCGCTCTCGGTCGTTTTTAGTATTTGGACATTTTTTTCTGCAGCGGGCCCCTTGCAGCATTTATTTTCATCTCTGCTGCCTGTTCGCCAACACCCAAGCTCACCAGTGAGTTTTGCACATCAGCTTCTTGAAAGAAGCCGTCCTTCCGACATCACAGGGCGCATATCGGAGCGCGCGGTTTCGGCGACCCACGTCGTGAAGGTCCTGGGAACGGCCGCCACGCGATGAACACTGTCGCTCTCGCGACGGCGGAGGTGACCCCGGTGGAAGGGAAGTGTCCCCGCGCGGTCCGGCACGTTCCCCGCGGCTCGGCGGCACCTCAGTCACAGCGGGTCTGGCGCCAGCGCGATCGAGCACCCGAGTTATTAGTGGGGACTGCTCCAAGTCGCATTACGCGGCAATCCCCTCCTGCGAGTAAATTAAGACATAGTTAAGAGATTGTTTAAGGACACTGCATATGCACATATACTATACATACATGCATATCGATCTACATAGAGACATACATGTCTGGATATATAGTGGACAACCAGAGAGCAAGTGGATGAATTCCGACAAGTTTTTCGTACCTGTCCCCTTCTCGCGACTTCCACGATTTTGACCCCCGATCATTTTGAGAAAATGACACCCACGCAGAGAAGTATAGGAAGTAGCGGGATCATTCGTCGGCTGTAAGTCGTTCATTGACCGCGAGCTCCACCCCGCGTCCAGTCAGGATGGCTGTGAGCGAACGATATAGGTCAGTGGACGTCACGCTCAGTCATTCCGATTGCGATTTCTAAAAAAATAATTGTAGAGCATGTCCGACGTATTTAGTAAATCATTGTAGAGACATGTCCGTATTTACAACATAGAGATCGGCGCCTGCTTTCAAAGTCGCAGCATGACCACACTAGGTCACGTGTGCAGGTCATGACCACACTAGGTCATGTGTGTAGGTCATGACCTCACTAGAACATGTGCGTCACGTCAGTAGAGGCTGTAGACCCCAAACCCGAACATCCCTGGAACAGACCTCACACCTATAAGGTCTAATGTCGGGTATCTGTTCCGCCATGGAGTATTTTAGCACCTACGGAGAGAAACCTCGGAAGCCACGCTGGAACCCAGATTTTATGATCTGATAAAACAATCTCCAGCGCCATCACTTTCTGAATGGCTGAGCGCCTTCTAATAAGCCATCCCACCAAGACTACGCTTCCCAATACCTCCAAACTACATAAGCGATCCGGAGGCGGCTTCAAGCGTCATCCATGGCGTTTTCGTCCCGCCAAACAACAGCTGATTTGAACACCCGTCGGGGACGGACTTCATCCCGCATCGAAAGTGATGTGAGGCAATGTATTGGAGGCTGATCCGGTCCGGTGATGTAATTCTAACGTTGTGTTGCGGCTGGCTTACATTGACAGCTAAGCTGAGTGAAAACATGACGCTATGTTATCCAAGCTCATAGTCGTGGCAGACGCACCAACGACAGCAGAAAAACATGCACGAGAAAACCATGCCGACATAAACTTGGTCTGGACAAATCCAGGAGCAGGGGAAGCAGTGAAGTTAAAGGGTCAGAATAGCGTCTACAGTTCAGAACTGAACGCTCAGTCGCATCAGCCGTCCCAAAAGTTTAGCCAGATTCGACCCACTGAAAGCCTGCTAGACCCAAAAAAACCCAGCACATTCATCATCCCAACCGCACACGAACGGTAACCCCGCACCATCTGTCGTCTGGCGAACGCGCGCGGCCCGGCCACCCACCTGCACCTGCGGTCCGGGCCGGCACCCGGCGTCCGGCGGCGCGCTCCACCCTGGGACGGACGCCCCGGGCTGCCGGGCGCCCGCCCGGGCTCCGGGACGCCCGCCCTCGCGTCACCCCGCGCCACCATCGCCGGAGAAAGTCGGCGACGACATCGGAGACGGGCGGGCGGCGCGTCACGGCCGCGGCAAGAAAGCGGCACGCTCGGGGTGCGCCGGTCATCGCCGCGGCCGCGACGCACAGCGCGCCCGCGCCGAAATAGCTCTGTTGTGAAGCGCGGCCGCGCACCAGCCGGTCGGCCGGAATACCGCGTCCGATCTTCGCCGTGTTCGCAATGCAAAGGATTTTCGGGGACGGGTGTAAATTACGAGCAGGTGTTAATTACGGGCCAGTCGGCCTCGGACGCCATTCCCTCCCTCCCCCCACACGAGCGCGCCTCTCGCCTCTGACGTCGGTCGTTTTCTCCGGCGCCCCTGCGCGTAAACACATTCATGGAGAGCGGGCGATCCGGTCAGGCACCGCCTCGGCGCATCCCTCGCCTCCAGCGCGCTCACCGAGCGTCGCCGAAGGACGCCGTGTGGTCGGAGGGCGGCGGAGCAGCCGAGTCCCTGCCCAAGAGCTCGTGACTCGCATCACACATGCGTACCTTGCATAGAGCACCCCATGTTGCCCTGACACCCTGGTGAGATGTCATCTTGGGAAGTAAATTCACCCCCAAGTGACTCACAGACGGTACATTTGGCTTCCACCTGCGGTAGCAGCCTGTTTACGTCCAGCTACATCCCATTGCGAACGATGTGTGAAGTGGCATCGGGTTGTTGTCTTTGTAGATAGGATAACATGCATGGACGCGTGGCCCGGATGTGCCCCGTCTGGCGCGGAGACAAACGTTCATTTGCATGTGAAAAATATTTTCAAAGTATCTGATCCCGTCGCTATAGGCCGTACTCGAGTCGCTTCAGGCTGTACCATAGGTTCAAGCCGGCTTTCTTCTCCTTGGGCTGGAGTATCAAATCTGTCAGCATGCTGAGGACTCTCATCCGTGCCAAATTGGCCCTCCTCTGTAGAGTGAAGCCTCTCAGCTGATGCCTGGAATGGTCGGTAAGCTGTTACTGATAGCCAAAATATTATTTCAAGTTACTCATCGACCCGCAAGCTTCTATAATAAAAACTCCACGTAAAAGAAATGTGATAATTATTGAAGAGCACATGCTTAACTCTACATCAAATGCTGTTTGTTGGTCTTCTTGTACAACCAGCTCAATCCGGTCAAGGTGCAAAGTACCTAACATGCGAGAAAAATCTGCACTTAAAGAAGCACACCATAGCGGCGAGATAAGATTGTCTTGAACGAGCATCCACTTTCTTCTTCCAGCAATAAAGTAAGCATACGTCCCATTGGCAAGATACGGCTCGCAGCCTTCAACTGCCGTCAGTATCTGTTTAGACAGGAGACGCATATTCTCACGAAACATTGGGGGCTGCGCTACCCCAGCAAATATGTGGCAACAAACGTGGCAACAAACGTGGCAACAAACGTGGCAACAAACGTGGCAACAAACGTGGCAACAAACCACCCGATGGATAACGGACGCTGAGGCTGGGGGCGATGGCCGCCAGTGCCGTCTGCGTGGAGTGTCGACCATCTGCGCTCGCGGCCATCCGCACTAAACACGGGATCATTCGCGCGCCGAGACACGGGATCATTCGCACGCCGAGACACGGGATCATTCGCACGCCGAGACACGGGATCATTCGCACGCCGAAACACGGGATCATTCGCACGCCGAGACCGAGTGTTTTTGCGGAACACTTCCACACAAACCAGTGGGTAATCCTCGCCACGAGATGGCAACCGCAGGAGGTCCAGGGCGTCCATAATTATAGGTCGTGCGCCCTCCGCGGCGTTGACACACAAACAATGCCAGAGGTCAACGAAATGTGGGAAACTCTCGGACGCCCCAGCTGACGCCCGGCGGCAAGGTTTACCGATGGTAATTTTACTTATGAAAGCGCTCAATCGCCACAAATCCCGGTAAATTGACCGTCTATTGAATGTGACGTTGAAATAAGTCCCGGGCCGCCGATAAGGTCTGAGTATCTGAACCCACATGGTTTGTTGTCGTTTCTAGCTTCATAGTCTCAATGCTGAAAGGAATCTGGACTGGGAGCAACTTGCACATTGTTACGTATGTGAGAGCCTATAAACGGAGCCAAAAAAATCCTGGAGCTGTTGCATGCGCAGAAATGATTTCAAGACAGATGTCCATTTTACAAACCAGACTCCCACATTAAAGCCATTGTGAGGATGTAGACAATGCGTGCTTCAGTGTGCAGGTAAACGCGCTACAGCGCACGGCCATGTTATCCGCAATCCACAATGTAGAAATCCGCATTGTTTTCATAGCTGCGTTCCCCTTTCTAGGAAGCATTTGCAGTGGGCCGTTTTCTCTCCACGGCTCTCACAGCATCCGCGGTGCGTGAGAGCGGCAGAGGCAAAGCGCGAGCGCACGAGCTGCGAAAGCTTGCGTCATACAAAACATGAACGGTGCCGGTGGATGGGCCCGCCTTTCGGCGAGTGTTGACTCGCCTCTGCTCCATGGGGTGGGCGTTCCAGTGCTCAGTTCGTAGTCACGCCCCGCTGGTCCCGATGGAGGTGAATGGTGACGATAAGGCTACACGACGCACCTGCACGTGCGGGACTTTCGTCGTGATCTCCTGTTCCAGTTTTGCCTAGGAACAAAGGTGGATAAGTATTGTTTGACATCAAGTTGGGCTGACGGCTGGCGAATGTCGCGTGCGATGCGTTCTCACGGAACGACCTCGAGCCGCCGCAGCGCCTCTTCCGCGTGTCATGCGGCCATGTCACCGGTCCCCTATCTGACCCAGTCCGCGCGCAACGTCAAAGGCCAAACAGCACCCCACATCCCAGCGGGCCACGCACCGCCCGGCCTGGAGACCTCGTGGCGGCAGGCCGCGCCGGGTGTGAGGCGGCAGCGGCCGGCACCGCCAGAGCCCAGGGCCGCGGCCTCCGGCTGTCGGCCGGTCACACATGCGGGACCGCGCTCTGACGCACCACCCTGACCCGCAGAGACGCCGCCGCCATGGCTGCAGCCGGGCGACCCGCCGAGTGGACGCGCGCCGCGCTCGCCGCAGTGCTGCTGGTGCAGGTGAGTGGGCGGGCGGAACGCGAGGACTAGAGCCGAGGCATGATGGGCGTTTGTTGTGTCGAAGTCAGCAACTGGCAGCCGTGCGAATCTCTCGGTGTATTTTTTTGAATTCTCGGTGACATTTCCACTTTCAGGTTAGTTCGATTTTCATGGTGATTTAAACAACTATCACTAGGCAAGCTTGGACATACGGAAGTTGTCCTCTGCGTAATTAAAATCGTTCTAGTCTGCACATGCAATGCGCGTTGCTAAAAAACCGTTATGCGATGCGCAGTTACGAAAAAACTAGTTAAAAGGTAAATACAAATTAGTTCACTTGTGATAAGTGCACTTGCAGTTTCTTACATAAGTGCAGGATGTAGTTCTACGGTTGTGCACTGTGCACGCTAAGTAATGGCATTGGTGGTGGTCGCACTCATTTTCACTGAAATTGCCACAATTGCAACATTTCGCCATTGTAAGACGCCGTTCCGGCAGATACATTTATCGCTGCAGCTTTTTTCGTCATTTTTCACCCGGGCTTTCGTGTCGTGGTCATAATGTTGCACTAGTTCCCCATGCATACGTGATTAAAGCAGTTGGTCCAGTTGCATAAGCGAATCCCATACCTGCTTGATATCTAACAACTACTTTCAGATATAAAAACATGCTAATCCTGAAGGCTTTCATCACGATTTCCTTGGCTGACTGAACATTTAGGCGCGAGCTTCACCCCCGCGGCGAACGTCAGCGGCTGATGCAAACCGTCGTCCCCCCCCCCCCCCCCCCCCAGCACGTGTCGGCGAGTGACGTGGCTCGGGAGCAGATCGAGCAGCTTAAGGACCAGCTGGCGGTGGAAACCCGGCTGGAGGACCAGTACGTCAGGTTCTTCGCACCTCCGCCCCACAGTGTCAACGGTCAGTACCGGGCGCACAGGGCGGGGCGGGGCCGTTGTAACGAGAGCCTCTTCTCCCAGTCCCGCCGGACAGCCAGGCTGAATCAGGATGGGCATAATCGGCAGGGCTGAGGCTGTTGCAGTTGAGTTCCGCTGCGGAATGCACCTCAAGTATATTTATGAGCGCATCTAACATCCTCATGAAATCCGCCCATCAATACGATTGGGACCATGCAAACAAACTGATGTTGGGCACCGACCCACGCCCTCCGTGTGCGCGGAATGAGCCTTCCCAAAAGTCCCGATCCTTAACTGTCCCGCATCCCGCCTCAGTCGCGCGCCTGGTCGTCCCGGTCCGTCTCCGATGTCCCGTCGAACCAGCTGGCCGCCGGGGTGAGAGAGGCGCACCCTCGGCGAAAGTGGCGCGCCAGCCGTGACGGCGTTACATCACACCGGCCGTCCTCTGTCCTCCGTCCTACGCTCTCTGCCGGTCAACCTGTCTGACCGGCAGCTGCCTGGCTTGGAGCCCAGCGCGTTGCCTTGCTGAGCCTCTGCTGGATAATGGAACAATGGTAGATTCGTATCACTCACGTTTTATTCGTTGTCGATAAGCTGCTTCGTCGCACACTCCACTACACGTATCGCAGCTTTTACTCCTATCTTTTCTTTTTTAAAGCGGGTATTATCAGTTTCCGCTGAAGGCTTTCCTATTCAGCCGTAGATTCCAATAATTGCAACACTAAGCTACTGGGCTCATTTTGTTGCGTCGCTCCCGACTCGTCGAACAAAGGGACATGTCGCCTCCCAGGTTCCTGTAAGAATTCGTTCCATGACCCAGAAAGAGCTTTGGATGTTCGCTGTTCACTCAGGTCGGATAACCAGGTCCCATCATCGTCCGGCACGGGATTACACCTCCCGTTCGAACCTAGAGCTTCGTGTGACCAGCGCCTTGGCTAACATCACAAGATGTAAAAATGGCGCTTCGTTGTTCCGACCCTTATTCCAGGAAAAAATTATTGAACTGCTCTCCTTTTATTCCGCTGGACTGAGCTTTAGTCCTTAAGAAAACTTTTTTATCTCCGACGAACCCCACACAAACTAAATACCGCAATTTTCCGCTGCGTGCCTGGCCGCAATCCTATAATCTAAAACATTGCTCAAATGACATGCTACTGCATTCTGTTTGAATTTCGTTCTGCTCACATTAGGGTAGAACCTTGCAGAATTGTGAAAGCGTGAAGCAACAACTCCTGGCACGGAGAATTGCAGCAAATACGTCGGGAGAGCAGGTGTTCACAACAACTTCACGGTCTGAACGGTTTCCTCACGAGGGGAGGGAACCGTTCAGTTCGAGTGTCCAAAGTCCGGGAAAGCTGACCTTAAATTTGCACTTGACTGACCTTGCACACAAACTTATAGTTGTCACTAGAAAACGAACAATTTATTTTGCTCGCCTGGGAGCGTCGATTGGCATATTTTTTTTGTTTGATTCAAGCCTGGCTTTATGTTATCTTTACGAAGCAACAATGCGTCTGGTCCAAATGCATTGTGAAACTTTACGACACTCAACCTATCGGAGGGCGATGATCCCTAGAGGTCTCTGTCGGCGCATCACTGTGCCAATTTCCACCGATTGATTTAGAAACAGCTTTTCGTTGGGTTCAGTCACTGTCATAGAATATTTGGAGGGGTGGTACGGCCGTCTCGGCAGGCGTTGCTGCACATGAGGGCGCTGACGGAGGAAGTAAGGATAACGACAACCTGTTGATTGATTCGGAGAAAGCATGTACGCTAATGAGCGGGCTGACTGATTGGAATTCCCATGACGGGAACCGTTCCATGCTAATCCATCATTTCACGTGATGTTGATGGCTGAAAGACAATAGACACTAATTGCCCGATGTTTCTGATGGACGCATTTCTTCATCACAAGAGATAGCCTAGAACCCATCGGTAAAACTTAATGCTTGGCCCCACAGCCTGCTCAGGAATGGGAGCTACCGCATTTCTTCCCACCACGTCATGCTCCCGACAAACTCAATCGATTATGCAACCACTTGAGGTTACCTCACGCGAACGTCGCACCACCGACGTCACGTCCCACCCGCTGAGATCGGCCGGGAGCCCGGGGGCCGATCGCCCCGGCCCGGGACACGCAATCAGCCGGCAGCGGCAGCGCGCTGTTCCAGTCATCGGCTGTCGGACTCGGTCCGCTCACCCGCCGCCGGTCGCCGCCGTCGCGTGTGACAGCGCTTCTCGGCGTGAGACAGGCTGGCGGCTAGCGGCGCGCGGGCGGCGCCACGCCTCGTGCAGGGTCACCCGCGGCGCCATGACGGGATGGAGACGCCGGCGGCCTCCTCAGCCGCGCCCTGGTACCGGCGACGGTGGGTGAGCTGATCCGGGGAGAACGGCAGGAGTGAGGTGACCCAGGGGGAATGGAAGAGGGGAGATGACCCAGGGAGAGCGGAAAGGGTGAGGTGACCCAGGGAGAATGGAAGGGGCGAGCTAGTTCGAGGACAACGGGTGAGGTGAGCTGATCCAGTGAGAACGGGAGGGGTGAGATGATCCGGGGAGAACGGAAGAGGTGAGATGGCCCAGGGAGAGCGGAAAGGGTGAGGTGACCCAGGGAGAACGGAAAGGGTGAGGTCACCCAGGGAGAATGGAAGGGGCGAGCTAGTTCGAGGACAACGGGTGAGGTGAGCTGATTCAGTGAGAACGGGAGGAGTACGATGATCCGGGGGGAACGGAAGGGGTGATATCATACTGAAAGAACGGAAAAGGTGCTCTGGTTCGAGGAGGATGGAAGGGGTGAGGTGGTGCGGGGGCACGTAAGGTCCAGCCGGCCTGCTCTGAAGCAGAAGTGTGCTGCGTTTCTGAGTAGGGATGTACGCCCTTGACGTGAGGAAAAATGCGGGTTCTAAAAATAACTGATAGAAATTGTGCCAAGGAAAAGTGCCTTTTGTGCGCCACTGGCGAGCCCAATGACCGCCTTTCTACCTTTGCCAGCCCTGCTGGATCCATGAAGTCAGCTTTTGAATGATGGCGTCGCCACAGAATCAGGTCTTAATGATTCGCAGATGAGCCAACTATAAAACGACTACGGCAGATCGCGCCGGGCCCCATTGTCGGGGCAAGTGCCCAGGCCCGATTCGTCGCCCTCAGGGAAACCCACGTGTTATCGTAGCTGTGCCAGAGCTGCCGTGTGAGCGGACAGCCAGAGCTGTCGTGTGAGCGGACAGGCAGAGCTGCCGTGTGAGCGGACAGACAGAGCTGCCGTATGAGCGGACAGACAGAGCTGCCGTGTGAGCGGACAGACAGAGCTGTCGTGTGAGCGGACAGACAGAGCTGCCGTGTAAGCGGAGAGACAGAGCTGCCGTGTGAGCGGACAGACAGAGCTGCACTGTGAGCGGACGGACAGAGCTGCCGTGCAAGCGGACAAACAGAGCTGCCGTGTGAGCGGACAGGCAGAGCTGCCGTGTGAGCGGACAGACCGAGCTGCCGTGTGAGCGGACAGGCAGAGCTGCCGTGTGAGCGGACAGACCGCTTGAGTGGTGCCGTCTTAAGCGCCGCGTCACCGCTGTTGCACGTGGGAGAGCGCCACCGCTCACGACGGGCGCTCAGACTCGCAATCGCCGCGGCGTAATCCCATGACGGCGACGGCTGTAGCGCGGCGGTGCGGCGCCGGTGACCGCGACCGCGGCAGGGGCGTCCATTGCGGCGTTAGCCCACGTTCGCCGACAGAAATACTGCACTTCGTTGGGCTGCTGGCTGATAATGATACACAGAAATGGTGCGTGTTCCGGTTGCCGGTTGACCGCTTCATGTTCGCGAATTACATATATATATATATATATATATATATATATATATATATATGTATACTTGCGATACACTTCCGCCAGTATTAAGGACGTTTGAGACTTTAGGGCTGGCATGCCAGTCAAAGGATGATCGAGCGGTCGCAGCACTTTCTCTTTCAAACCCGTTTGACGTTGAAATGGAATGTCAAGGGAAGTTTCTACGCAGTTATGCCGAAGCATGTCTAATGTGATCGCAGCGCTGTTCGGTGGTGCTAACTGACACATTAAGCGGCTTAACCCATCCCCTCGCAGGCTCTTCCAAACTCATTCTTAACTTCCGTCTGTAAGTCGTGTTTCAATTACGTTTGCATACAACACGTTAGTGAAACCCGTGTGGGCTTGTACTTCCTGGAAGCGTGCTGCCGTCGGCGCGACAGTAAAAGCGTGAGCCGCTTTTTCCTACTAAGCATATCCACATTCCTCGGCGTTTCATCTCGACTTCGGGGTATGATGCGGAACTGGGTCAGAGTCCGTGCCCGCTCTATCAGTTCCCCGATTCTAGCAGCTCCTAACAACCGCTCAGAACAAAACGCATTCGAACTGCTATTTTCACGCTATGTGACCCACTTGAGCTGACAGGAGGAGACCGCTGATGAAAATGATAGCTTGCTTGCAACCTGCAAGACGTTTCATTTCTGTATAACGACAGCAATTAAGCAAGAGCCTCAAGCGTGCAGTTTGCAATAATTTAAGATGGACCACTTCTCGAATAACACGGCATACAGGATGTCCTCATACGCTGGAGAAACCCGTTCCACAGTGGCTCTGAGGAGGGTGCTGTTTTGTTTGACACAAAAGGTGACTAGCTTGTCGCAAAGACATTAAGGAGTATTTTTTATACACAAAAGTTGATGCACATGATCACGTGAGGGGAAATATATCAACCATTGGAGCTGTTCCAAGGTCCCATGCACCAAACCATAGCATGGCTCTGTATCCGAGAATCTTTTTCTGTCTCCTGTATCTACAGACATCAAATTTGTAATTCCGCAAAATGCCTGAGGGGACAGAACAAGGCAAATGGCTAAACCTTCTTTCAAGATACCGGGAGAATGGTGTTCAGATTCGGACATCGGACTTTGCCACTTGTATTCTTAAAGTCGGGGGTGCAACCCTCCCCACTACCCCTGAACTTTATAGGAAAGTACATCACTGGAAGGCACCCATGACTGATCTGTCCTCCAGAAGCGCAACGCAACCTCTACTAAACCAGAATTTTTCACCATCCACATGAGCGTACTTTGTAACAGCAGCGATCCTTCTGCTGCCTGTCGACAACCCTGCCACCAAACCGACCGAGTCGGTTCGTACTTGCACCGTTTGCCCCGCTGTCTGGTCAGACCTGAGCCCTGACAGGCTGTCTCCATCCGCCGCCGGTCTCTCCCCCCCCCCCCCTCACTGACCTTCTGTTTCGGACAGACCTGGGAGCGGGCAGTCTCTCGCCGGCCGATCTGATCCGACCTCAGAATGCGCCCCAAATCACCAGCCTGAACGTGCAGTGCGCCGCCGACAGCATGCAGCTCCAGATCGCCTTCGACCGGCCATTCGAGGGCATCATCTACTCTAAGGTGAGTGAACCGAGTCGCGCTGATTTGCTGGCTCCGTGGGCTGGATGGGTTGGCGTCAAGGCGATTGGACTAAGAAAAAATCGTATTTGAAAAATTTTAGAAGGTTGGGGCATGTGCTTCTGCTTCATAGTATGTTTTTAAGTTTGTCCGCTACGCAAAAATAATTATAAAATATATGACCTCAGCGCGGCCTCAGCGTACCACTTTATAGCATACTGACCGTGGCAGCGTTTCAGCTTATAGAATAAGTCCGAAGACAAAGCGCAACAATGGTAGTATTGCTGTGTTCGGAATTTGTTGAGTTTAAACTATTACTCTTTCATGCAGAACTCTCCGCTCGTTCCACGCAAACTGCCGTAGAGAGCTGTTTTGATCGTCCAAATTTACTTAAGAGTCTCAAAGACGACTGCAGGGGGATGGTGATGACTGTATGGGAGCGTCGACTACGTGGCCGTTTCGCGCCCTCTCCTAAACTATCTGTCTACTTAAGCTTTTGTAGATTTCGGTAGAACATGGAGTTTTAGAAATGGTTTTCCTCAATAAGAAGAGAACACTGATAGGTACCGTGGTAGACAGAATTATCAATTGCACATCACTCGGTTAGAACTGTGTCACTTATAACTTCTGCGCACTTCATCTGTATGTCTATACGGTTGAACGGCTACAAATAGTTCTAAAGTCACTTGGTCTAAGAAGGCGGGTACGTTGATGATGTCACAGTATGGACCGTAATTAAGGAGCCGGGAAAGGGACGCCAGTGCAGACAACCCCTGTCATATTAACGACACGAGGTCAGGACGTGGTCAACGGTCAGCCGCTCGCCACACCCCTCGCACTGTGACTTCTGGTCCGATAGCTAAAACGAGTGCGTAGCCTAGGTGTGTCAAAGCCGAAGCCGACAAAGAGCTACCTCCTAAAATATTTCATTCCGATGAGACAGTTCCCACTCACCAATCAGTGGTTTAGTGGAACTGAATGACAGTTGAATGAAATAATCTTAAGTCATGCACGGCCTGTTGCGTTCTGAACACTGCAAAAGTACCGTCATTTGCTTTCTCAACAAACTGCTATGAAACCACATTTGCAACCTCAAGGCTCTTGTTGTTCCCTTTGACCAAAGCGGCACACCACAGTGGGACAAACAACAGCAATAATTGGGTCCACTCTCGGCCGGAGGTGACTTGGTGACCGAGATCCCTCCGTGCCGGTGTCTGACCTAGTGCCATTAGCGAAGGACGTGACGTCCTCCCGTGCCAGGGGGCTGACCTAGTGCCATCAGCGAAGGACGTGACGTCCTCCCGTGCCGGGGCCTGACCTAGTGGCATCTGTGAAGGACGTGACGTCCTCCCGTGCCGGGGCCTGACCTAGTGGCATCTGTGAAGGACGTGACGTCCTCCCGTGCCGGGGCCTGACCTAGTGGCATCTGTGAAGGACGTGACGTCCTCCCGTGCCGGGGCCTGACCTAGTGGCATCTGTGAAGGACGTGACGTCCTCCAGAAAATGGCGGCGCGTCTAGCACAACGCTGGGAAACGGACACAAGACGACGATATCGACACCGGAAGTGAGGTGGTCGTCAGCCAATCAAATTCATCAAAGGAAGATAACGCGATCCAATCCCACACCGCGTGTTTCTCACCTATGCCGCTGAAGAGCCCAGCGGTGGAGTCTGCCGCACTGGCATCATCGGCCCGGCTGGCGGCTGCGGTGTCAGTCCATGCATCCGTACATCAGGTCACGATAGGGAAAGCATCCCCGGCAATACTTTTTTGCACCATTTCCCTCATGGTACTCGGCGTGCTGACCTTCATGTGTCCTCTGTCATTTGACTGAGCATTGGCTGCGATAATTTCCGCTTGCGATCGTTGCTGCGCCGCCATTTGTCGCCGTCAGTTGTCAGCTGTCTGTGCCCTGTCGGCCGGGCATGCTCTGCGACCATGGTGGCGGGTAGGCCTGTCACCCTGAGCCCGCCCGGTAGTGGCAAGTATCGATTTATTCACGAGTTTGACAGAACAATGGCGGCATTTTTACTCCACAGTTGGTGCTTAGATGCGGGCGAGGGAGTCAGAATTATCACCCAGCCAATGTCGTTTGGGCAGAGCGCTGTACACGCTGAGCAGGTGCTCCGATCCGGAACATCGGTCCAGTAACGAAGCATTCAGGAGCGACCCTGTTCACTGAGGCGTGACGAGATCTTTTGACACCGGGCTGTCTCGGTTTCATCGAAATTACCGGTCTGTATGTGCGATAGGTCGCACTCACACGTGTGACTGTACCGAGTGCATTCACTGGTACTCGAGTGATTGCTTCATAAAGTCATGAACGTTTAGGAGGGGATGTTATGGTTTTGACGTTCTGTAGCATAATTGTCGTCATGATATGTTCGGCGCCGTGGTATTATCATTGGCGCCTCTTCAAATGATGATGAGCGCTCTCGGCATGTTTCCTCGCAGCATAACAAGAAAAATCCCCCTTCTCTACTATTAGTCTACGCCTCGTCTCTAGTCTAGTCTCTAGTTTAGTCTACGCCCCCACCTCTCCACGTGCTTGCTCCGCCGCTGAGTGCCGCTCGTGGTGCGCAGGGATACTTCTCATCACCACTGTGCCATCACGCGTCCGGCGGGCCGGCGGGTCGCACGCGCTCCTTCATCATCAGCGCCGACGCCTGCGGCACCCGCTTCAACAGGCTCAAGGACGGCCGCGACTACATGGAGAACGTCATCGTCGTCCAGAACGACGTCGGCCTGCAGAAGGTGGGATTAGTCGGTGGAGGGCTCAGTCGGTGGGGGGCTCAGTTGGTGGGTGGGTGGAGGGGAGGGGGGGCTCAGTTAGTGAAGGGGGGCTCAGTCAGTGAAGGGGGGGGGGGGCTCAGTTGGTGGGGGGAGGCTCAATCGGTGAAGGGGGAGGGACGGGCTCAGTTTCTTGGGGCTCGTCGGTGGGGGCTCGGTCGATGAAAAGGGAGGGGGTGGGATGGGGTGGGGTGGAGGTTGGGCTCAGTCGCTGGGATATCGGGAGACGCTAAGAACTGTCCGCTGTCTTCAAGGAACGAGTTTTCGACACCATGCGCGCTGCGCGTGTTTCTACTTTCAATAATGTCTGCTCGTACAGCACTGCTTGTTAACGCCGCCACCGGCGCGTCTTTATCCACCGATTTCAACTTTAATGGCGTGTTTATTGTAAGGCTAATTTTCTCCAAGTTTGGCATTATAGTTCCCATTAAGTGAGCGCTGGGTCTTTTCCGTGAAAGGTCCATTGTAGCTTAAAACACGTATTCCATAACGATGCCAGCCCAAGACGGTTAGAATAGTTATAAAATGGAGTTATGCGCTCGCAGTGATAATTAAGGGATCTAATTACTGGCAGTTTGTTCCTTCAGCTGGGACGTCTGTTTTACTTCACGTACTAAATCTTTAAACCTAAGACGAATTTCTGCCCAGTTGAATGGAGATACAGTGTAATTTTCAGCATGCATGACAGCCCACTAGTCTTCTTCCGGGATTAATGAAAGCCGATGATACTGCCGCACTGATATTTCATGGAGCAATTGTTCAAAGGAAAGCGACTACAATACCACTGTGACCAGTGGCTGAATGCAAATTACATTAATTAGCCGTGAACTAAAGGATGTTGTGCAATAGGTGCGCTTCTTGGCATGTCGGAAGCCTGTAGCCCACTTATCTACACGTCCGAATGACCAAGGCAGAACGTTAAGGCGAGTCAGGTTCAGGTCAGGTCTGGCCAGATTAGATTCGGGGCCGGCCAGTTGTACAACAGGTGACGGCGGGACAGGCTGTGTCAGGTCCGGTCAGTCACAAGTAAAATACGGTCAGGTCAGGTCAGGTCCGATCAATCACAAGTCAGATGGCATACGGTCAGGTCAGGTCAGGTCAGGCGCATATGGACCATAGTAACCTATAGGATAGCTTGCCCGGCACAGGATTGTAACGTGTCAAGTTCGTGTTGCTGGCACCGCCGTAGTTCATCCCTGATGACAATGTGCAAACTCGGTGGTTTTAAAGGCCAGAGGATGTACGAATGCGGTAGATGTACATACGTACCACGGCTGTCTATGGGACAGGCCAAGTACCGGGACTGCGTTCTCTATGGAAGTAAGACCACACCCTATTCAACTGTACATAAATCCTGATACGCGGGCTGACTCCGTGGTTTCCGATATCGCCTGAACATGCCGTGCTCGTTTAGAAAGCTTCCCCAAAACGTCGACGCCTGTTCATTAGCTTGGGTGATAATCTAAACTTGATACGCTAGACGTCCACGCCGGAAGAATGCCTGCTGGCGGAGCCGCAGTCCGGAAACTTTCCCCGCCGTCTCAAGCGGCGACCGGCCATGTTATTTTCCACGATCCTGGAGTCGTGGGCACGGGCGCCGCAGAGATACAATCGTCCCCGGCGTCGAGCGCGCCCAGAGAGACTCTCACGACCGGGCCCTGCCCGATACAAGACCTATGGAGGTCACGCGACTGCGAGATGACCGGGTCACGAGAGACGTCCAGCAGGTCAGGCCAGGCGCTAGATCCGGTCGGATCAGGCCAGGTCGGGTCGGACGTGGGGAAGGCGTATCCGGCGCAAATCGGGCGGTCATAGGTCAGGTCAAAGGCCAGGTCGTGCTCCAGCCAAATGTTGCAGGGCTGGGCCAGACACATCCCACATGAAGTCCTGGGCAGATGAAAGCACATGAGACCGTGATATGCACAGTTCGGATGAGTTCGCATCTGGTCGTACCTGACAAGGTGCGGTGAAGCGCAAGCTGTCGTTTGGCGGTGACCGTTGTCCATGTGCTGCACCGGAGTTATCTCTCGGGCCAGCACGTGCGGGCTAGGAACGGCGACCAGCTCGTCCGTGTAAGTGATGATATCCGGCATCAAGTTCTCCTCCACGGCAACGTTTGTGTTTCTGGCTCCTTCCACAGTGACCCATTGTCTATACTGCAGAGTGACGGAGAATCTGTGGCAATAGACGATGCAGCCAAAAGTGACGGCGCATAGGAGCCGTTCAAAAGGAGTGGGTGACACCAGCTCTGACGCGACACCGGAAGTGCTCACCGGAAATGGTGACTGGGGCACAGCCACCTTCTGCCCGAGGCCAGTCAAGTGCCAGCTGATGGCCGTGGTGGTGGATGACATCAAATCCAGACACGCTCAGCGATGCGTCGCCGTGCCCCGGAGGAAACAGCTGGCCTTCTTTTCCGGTATCGGTGAAATCCTGGCGCGAGCAGAGGGTACGAACACGAGCAGCGGGTACAAGCCGAGCAGTGGGTACAAGCCGAGCAGCGGGTACAAGCCGAGCAGCGGGTGCAAGCCGAGCAGCGGGTACGAACACGAGCAGCGGGTACGAACACGAGCAGCGGGCACAAGCCGAGCAGCGGGAACAAGCCGAGCAACGGGTACAAGCCGAGCAGCGGGTACAAGCACGAGCAGCGGTACAAGCACGAGCAGCATGCATAAGCCGAGCAGCGGGTACCAGCACGAGCAGCGGGTACAAGCCGAGCAACGGGCACAAGCCGAGCAGCGGGTACAAGCACGAGCAGCGGGTACAAGCACGAGCAGGTGACACGCCACATTGGTGTCACACTCACGAATGTAGTACGTCCCGGGCCGAAATGTGTGACCTCGGAGGCGCGCGGGGTCACGGGTCGTGTGAATGTGGCAGAGGTGCCCGCGCACTACACATTGATCGTCCACATGAAGACGACGGATCTGACCCGTTAACACAACAGGAGCTGCGATCGTCGATGGAATGCGGACCTCTCTGTGAACATCTTCATATTGGAGGGACACAAAACACCCGATGTTATTATCGTCGGTGGTCAAGATCATTCGGGGGTTCAGCAGGGGAAAGGCCATTGCTTTAAGAGCCTTGGCTCTGGCCAAATAATCCAGGAGAAACTGAACAAACACCTTGAATTATAATTGGTGGGTCACAATTTCAGCCTCCGTCTCAGCCTCAGCCTGGCACCTAAGATGGGTACCGGGCTGACTGAGTTGGGTAACCCAACCCAGCCAGCTGTTCGTGTCTGGCAGCTCCCATCTGAGTGTCGCTGGCTGTCTCCCTGCCGATACGCCCTCCTGCCGACCATGACGGGTGACGGATGGTGCGCCGCCCTCATCGCCGGTGAGCACGGATGACACCAGCAGAACCGGTTAAACGACGCCATCAGAGCGGTTGGGTTCCGGTCGGGCCGCCGCCCGCCAAACCGTACCGCACCGCGTCTGCGGTACCGACCGTACCGACCCGCGCCACGAGAGCGAGCTCACGCACGCACGCCGCCGGCTGGCGTTCCGCGGCTGACGGGGCGCGGCTGAGCCGGGGTGGGCGCCCGGCCCGTCGCTGACCTGCCTTCACAGCAGCTCGGTCGCCGGGCGCGGGCGGGGATCACTGCAGACTGCACGGCGCACCGCCGTCTGTAGCGCTGCAAAGATGCTAGAAGAGCGAAGCAACATCCTGATCTTCTGGCGTATGGAGCGGTAGGACCGTGGTGACCTCGCGCAGGGAAGTGCCGAAACCATGTCGGATTTCTGCCAGGGAAAAAGCGGAAGAGCGCGCGTCTGTGGCAGGAAGTGGCCATGACCGTGGCGGACCCCTGCCGACTAGTGACGGGTCGTGGCGTGCCTGTGGTCAGAAAGCTCCAAGACCGAGGCGGGTGCCAGGCAGGGAGGCGCCGGAACCGTGACGGATCCCTGGCTGCAGGTGGCAGTGGGACCGGGCCCGAGCCGCGTCAGGACGGCGCGGGCCTGCGTCGGGACCGTCGCCGTCCGTCGGCCGGAGGCGGCTGTCCGCCGAGGCGGGAGCGTCCGCGCCGGCCGACGCTCGGGCAGGGACGGCACCGACACGCGACCAGGCGAGGCAGGCCGTGAAAGTGCGCTGAACTGCATTGTGGGCGCCGGCCGCCGGCCCATTACGGCGGCCCTCCACGCACCAGAAAGTTAAGCCGCCGGAACGCCGTTCTGCCGCGCCGATCCGCGACACTGGCGGACTGGTCTGGGCTTCCGGTGGGCTTCTGTGTGAAGAGGCGGCGCAGCCCCTGCGCTCCGGCATCGACACACTTTCTTCTTGCTCGGAGATGGCCGGCCATAACATTTCCGTGCTGCGCAAAGTTAGGGGATTTTGAATTGTATATTTGTTGTCCGTTTCGGATAGCTTAAGACGTGCAGCTACACATTAATTGCGCCCACCAACGCTTGTTCAAAGTGACGAAGTCAGCCGTGGCAATAACGTGCGTTGTTTGGTGATTGCGTTGTGATGCCTGGTAAGGGTGTGTACTTTCCTGTTTACAAAACACTCTAGACGTGAGGATTATTAACACTGAACACTAATACAAAACAACACAAAAACATGTCTCGGCCGGCGTGGCTCGTCATAACCCGGTAACCGCCGCGCGGACCCGTGCCGCCTCTCACGACACTGTCACGACTTGCACGCTCCGTTCGATCTCCTGCAGGCGTTTGACACGGCGCGCAAGATCCGCTGCATGCTGCGGCCCAAGGGGGCGCGCCAGGTCAATGAGAAGACCGTGACGTACGCCTTCAACGTGGACACGCTGGACCAGAAGGAGGTGACATTCGAGACGGACGAGGACCCCGTCTCCAAGGCCAACGCCGTGCTCGACATACAGGTGAGTGTTGGCCCGGGAAGACATCGGCGACGTCGCAGCTCTGGTGCACGGGTTCTGGTGACTCGTCGCACGAGTTTTATGACGCAGGTCAAGGGTTCACGTGTAAGTGGCTCGTGTCTCCCGTGAAATAGGTGCTACATCGGGACAGCGTGAATTAACATGACTTACGGTTGTCAGCAGAAGGTGACGTTGCATCTTACATGGTTGAAATGCTCCTTTACTGTCTTTCGACATAAAAACTACGCAATTTTCAGACAAACGAAACACGCATCTGCTGTTCTCAAACATCTCCAAAGCACCTTTCTTAGCATCGATGACCTTAAGCAGCCTTCCATTTCAAGCCTCCCATCATGCTCTAGAACGCGGAAATAAACGCGATCCGTAACATGGGCTTGCGTGAGTGCCGGTCTGAGCGATATTCGGCCGGTTTTTCACGTTTAAGTTACCAGACCATCTAGCCCCGCTCCGACAAGCACAAACATCCCACACATCCCACTAACAAAGCGACACATGACTTCAGCCGATGAATGCGGCCAGAAAAACACGTTTCGAAACACGCTAACCCCCGACCTGGCGTATCACTGAAGCACGAGCGGAAGGCGAGGGAAGGGTAACCTGCCTCGACAAAACATCGCCTGGAACGCTCTCGATGGCCATCGCCTGTTCTTCGCATGTTCTCGCGCACGCTGTCCCCTGCGGCGGTCAGCGCATCACACGCAAGGCTCCGCCAGTGATGCCCGCTTGTGCAACACGGTTGCGACACAGCGCTGGCGACGCACGCGCGCGCGGGCGGCCGCGGCGTCGCAGCGGGACGCCTGCTGGCTGTCGGACGGCCCCCCGCGCGGCGCCGACGCTTTTTATCAGCCAATGTGGCTGTGGGCGACTCGAGTGAGGAGGGAAAGCGTAGGAGCTACCGCCGACGTCCGCGCAAAAATCTCACTTTGGAAAGCGACGCGCGAGATGCGGTCATGACTGGGCGGCCGGTGATGAGCCAGGATATGGAGTATGGCGGCTTTTTTGGCGCCGGGGAACTTCGTGCGGGCCGCACGAAGCGCATGAGCAGCCGATGGGTGAAATGGTTTCTCTTCATCTGTCGTAGTTCACCGGTCGCCTTCGGATGGAACAGCTGCGTCACCGACCACGTGCAGTGGCAGGGTTGTAGAAACCGATATGGAACTGCGCGGCGCGTTACTAAGAGAGGCTGTGGTTCTTGTTTGTCTTAAATATAATAGAATACTGATTTCCTAAGCGCAAAGGCCATTGGAACATTGCCTCCAGCTGATCGGATAGTTTTTCCGGAGCGCGTAAAATCAGCTCTGCATGAAAGTGAATGAGTCTGAAGGTTGCTCCGTCATACTTCACCACACGGTGCTATATTACAGCGCATGAAAAACAGGCAGCCTCCGTCACACTTCACCACAAAATGCCATATTCCGGCGCATGAAAACAGGCAGCTTTCGTTACACTTCACCATGCAGTGCTATAACCCAGCGCATGAAAACGGACAGCCGGTCTGGTCTAAACTAGCATTTCATTCCACCATGGTAATACACCACTAAAATAATTGCCGCAACAATCAAGAGCATAATTCGAGCAACATTTGCATACTTCCTGCTGGTCTGTGCACATTTTCAAGGAAACAGCTTGATGAAACTGCACAATCGACATGCCTTTCCGCCTGGGGGATACCAGCGTTGTGGTGCCCCGTCGCGTGCTCATCTTACGGCAGCTGAACTGTGACACGCTTGTCCGCTGACCAGGCCGAGCCTGACCCCGTGCCCTAACCTCTGGCGACGGCGCAGATCGGCCAGGGCCCGTACGCGCCGTCCGTGGACGGGCTGGTGAAGATCGGCGACATCCTCACCATGGTGGTGGAGGCGGAGGGCGACCGAGACGTCGACGTACGCGTGCGGCAGTGTATCGCCATGAACGGAGACAGGTCAGTGCTGGCAGGGCGGTCGAGGCCGCAGGTGGGGCTGCGGGCCAGTACCGAGCAAGGGACGGGAAGAGGTCGGTGGGGTGAGGGGATGGACCCCAGGGCTAGGTCTGACACCAGGGGCTATGTGTCAGGCATGTGACCGGAACAGCACAGTTCGGTCATGGACGCGTGGGACGCGGATAGACATAACTAGACACTCGTGGGTTAAATAAAGATGATACGCGTCATGCCAGCTTTGTTAGGAGCATGGAGTTCGGACACATGCGGGTTTGTTAGGGGCCACGCGACCCAAAGATAATACTTCTGAACATAATATTTCTCGAGCAGCTGCAATACCTAGCGCCGTGGCTTCTTTGTGAGCCGCATTGATGGCGAAAATGCCGCCGGATTCGTACATCATCTAAATGATACCTCAATTTGAGAGTCATGCTGTTAGTCAGTTGCCAGTGCCTAGCGTCGCACGCATCTACGCTGAGCCGGCGTGGCTGACGAAACTCAGCAGCACCCAGCAGCATGAAGTGCCAACATGCCTCCGCGCTGACCCGTGACCGCGGTGCTGCTCTCGACGCGCGCCTATACCTCACTGCCACCTGCACCCACGGCTGCCCCGGCCGCTGCTCGTGTGCGTGACTCGTGACGTCATATGTCAGGACGTCGCACGTGAACCTGACGGATGACGTCGGATGCACCATGAAGCCGAACCTGCTGTCGCCCTGGTTGAAAACAAAGCAGAATAACGCGGTCATGGCGTACAGGTATGCTGTGTCACTCCCCGCGTACGTGGTATGCTGTGTCACTCCCCGCGTACGTGGTATGCTGTGTCACTTCCTGTGTACGTGGTATGCCGTGTCACTCCCGCATGCGCGGTATGCTTTGTCACTCCCCATGCTGTGCCACTCTCCGCATACTTGGTGTGCCTTGTCACTCCCCCCACGTGGTAATGCTTCTGTGTCACTCCCCGCATACGTGGTATGCTGTGCCACTCCCCGCGTGCGTTGCTACGCCACTCCCACATACGTGGTATTCTGCGCCCACTCCCGCGTGCGTTCTACGCCACTCCCCACATACGTGGTATTCTGTCCACTCCCCGTGCGTTGCTACGCCACTCCCCGTATACGTGTATTCTGTGCCACTCCCCGCGTGCGTTGCTACGCCACTCCCCATGCTGGTATTCTGTGCCACTCCCGCGTGCGTTGCTACGCCACTCCCCCATACGTGGTATTCTGTGCCACTCCCCGCGTGCGTTGCTACGCCACTCCCCACATGCTTGGTATTCTGTGCCACTCCCCGCGTACGTGGTATGCTGAGCCACTCCCTGCGTGCGTTGCTACGCCACTCCCCACATACGTGGTATTCTGTGCCACTCCCCGCGTACGTGGCATGCTGTGCCACTCCCCGCACACGTGGTATGCTGTGTCACTGCCGGCTTACGCTCTGCAACTTGATTTGGTTTACAATGTGCTCTCGCGAGCCTTCGTCGGCTGCCAGGCTTTTCACTTTCATATCCCGTGACTCGATCTCGGTGCTGTCGTGGATGTCACCTGTGTAGCGTCACCCGTGTGCATTGCTGTAGTTGTGGTACCCGTACGTGACTTCCGCCGTTTATCCCTCCTGCAGCTACTTCTCGGCGTTTAAGTTCCCGGAACAGATGGACGTGATCATTGAATGTAATCTGGACCTCTGCAAGGGAGAGTGCGGCTTCTGCCAAGAGGATGTTGTCACAGTAAGAAGTAGCTGAGTTCCGTATGAACTGTTGGGTTTGCTTCTATAAAGTATTTGATTATGCGTGGGGAGCAAGCTCTTTTATCGTAGCACAAGTGAGTAAAGCCACGCAACTTTACGCGGCTTCATTGACCCTCATTAAGCCATTGAGTTAGCTTGATCAAGCTAGTCTTCTCCGTACATGGGTTAAATGATAATACCCCATGTACATACACCGCTCAACCAATAACTGCGGGACATAGCAAGTAGGAATACAACATTCCCTTGAACTAACCCGTGACCTGCAGGTGTATCGGGCCACCTGACCTGGCTTCTGACCCCGACCCTGATTCGACCCTATGCTGACGACCCCAGACCGCGACCTGGAAGAGCGCCGCATTCCCGACCTTACCCTAACCCAACGTCTGAACTAAAGGTGCCCCGCGCCCCGACCTGACCCCGACCAAACACTGCCTTCCACGTGTCTCACGTCACCAAGAATGACCCAGCCCCGCTCGGCAGGTGTCGCGGGTGCTGGAGCGGTCGCGGCGCGAGCTGAACGCCAGCGCGGCTGCCGTGCAGCGGGCCGAAGCGCGCGAGCCAGTGCGGCTGGCTCGCCGCCTCCGCGTGGTGGCGCCACAGGACATCGCCATCACCGAGGCGACGCGCACCCTGCTGCCGGGCGGAGCCAGCGCCGGCGCCGGCGGCGACGCCGTCTGCCTGTCCGTGCTGACGTTCGTGGTCGGCCTGGTGGTGATCCTGCTGCTGCTGTTCGTCGCCTCGATCGCCACGGCGGTGCTGTGCGTGCGGGCACGCGGCCAGACCACGGCGCTGGTGACCGCCCTGCCGGACGCCTCGTTCCACGCCTTCTCCTCCTATCTCGGGCAAGCCTTGAGCGGCGGTGGAGCCCTTTGAGGAGGAGGGTCTGTCGCGTATGGTGACCCGAAGTGAGTGACGTCGCTGGCGCCCCTGGGTTGGACGCCAAGGTCATTGCGGCGGTATGGTCGAACTGAGGTATGTCTGGTCAATGCAGTACATTGTGTATGTGTGAGGAGAAGCTTTCTGGCGTGGCGCACGCTCTCAGACGAACGACTGCTCTCGGTTTTGTTTTGTTTTTGTGCGTGTATTTCATACAGTGAGGGGGAGCTGGGAGACCACAGAAGGCGAGGCCCGTCAGCCATCAGCCACGGTGCTGGACCAGGGTTCCACTAAATCTGACAGGAGAAGGGGGGGGGGGGGTCTCCCACAGACTGATTAAGTCGTGGGTGGTCCTTGTGACGCCTTCCCAACGCCACTGAACTCTGATTCGGTCACCTCCACTGCTGCAGGATGGTGCCTTCAATGTGCTGTAGTCCGTCTGAGCGCTGGGCGGAAGACTTCCTAGCACAAGGGGCAGTCGTGCAGGGAACCAGCCGCTTTGCTCAGTGTCTGTCCGCCCTCGCCCCCAGTTTCACGACCGCCATTCCAGAAGTGGGCGTGTCGCTGGCCTGCACGCGCCTGCTAAGGTAACGAGGCTACCATTATACCCTTATGTCACGCTGAAGGTAGACTGAGATGCTTGTGTTCGTCCCATGTTATGATTACTTATGTACTCCGGTCAGTCGTGGAACAGCTCTGGTGCTACAGTTGTCGCCGCAGTGAGCGTTTGGGACCAGTCCGTGTCGTGTCTGTGGGTATGGCTATGTGTCCCATGTGTTGCGACGATGTGATATTGCTGCTCAGCGATGGCGACTGAGTTCTGTGCCAATCCGGAGGGTACGACCTTACTGCGTACCAGGATGAAATAAATGTTCACATTGTCAGCTCACAAGCTTGTCGTGGTTGGTGCATATCCTCGACAGGAAACAGCCCACGGATTGCCACGTGCACCATGCCGTTCATTGCTTCCAACACGCTCATCCGGAATAACCCATGCATGGAGACCGTGGCGCTTATACAGCGAGAATTTATTATTAATACCGTTCAAAATATACAACTTTTAAAACTTGCGAGCAAAACCGCACACGGCATACCCAGAATGCTTTCAACGGCGCGGTAACGCATTCGGTTGGGGACAATCGTCAGGTGTATATAACGAACAGAATCACTGGTGAAATCCAACGATGCACAAACACAAGGCGCCATGACAACACAAGACGCACTCCTCCCGTCGCCTTCCAAAAAAGAGGCGCAAGAAGCGACCCAAACGTAACAGGGGTGGTGAGTCGATGTTCCAGGTAGCAGTCCGCAATGTTTGCATTCAACGACCACGCGCGGCCAACCCCGGCCCGGATCGCCGCCCGAGAGCACCTCTATGATCCACTGGCAAGCGGCGGCTTGCATCGGATGGTAACAAACGCCACTACGCTTCGGGCCGACTGCTAACGGCCTCGCACAGTCCAGTTAACAGATAACTAGCTTCGGCGCAGCAGGTACTAATCATAACAATATGTTATGCGAGTCGCTACTCTTAAACGGGTTGCAACAGTCGGTTCTGACTAACGATGTTAACAACAATAAGTTACACCTAACATGTTTACGATAATTTATTGTATAACAACTTTGAGCTAGCTTGGCAAGTAATCCACTGAGATGCTTACTCTAACATTTTTGGAAGCATTCATTTTTATGATTTTCACACTGTGGCCGGTGCGGCCCGAGTACACCGGAGAACACATACAGAGCAAACAGCGCAGCTGCCGGCCGCCGGGGCCGCACGGGCGTGACGTCACCGCTGGCGTCACCCGTCTGATATGTAGCTGCGCGCGCAGCAGACGGCCGCCGAGAGCGCCGCGGCGTGAGCAAAATCGAGCCCGTGGCCGGCCGCGCCGCCGTTGCGCGAAAAGCCCCTCCAGGCGGCGCGACGGGCGGCGGCCGCCGCGCGCTACCTCACACTTTGGCAGTAGTATTGCTAGACACGCAGAGGAGCGGCGTGCGGCGGCGCACGCCGGGTCCCGCCGGGGCCGGAGAGACGGGCCAGGGGGTCGGGGCGTATTGCTGTGGGGGCGGCGGCCGGAGGAGCCGGGCAGGGCCGGCCGGCCTGTGAAGCGAGGGTGTCCGGCTAGCGGCCGGGAGGGGCCTGTCATCGCTCAGTCGGTGTCTCACGTTCAGCGGACCGGGAAGGAAGCTAGGCCAAAGCTGGGGAGATAGGGATTACATTTGCGGCGTACGCCTGACGGCGGTAGAGAGCGACGGCCCTGGTCAGATATTCACGAGCATGGTTCTGTGGATATGACTTCGGTCGTTGGAGCAGCCTACTCCCCTCGTGAGGTAACAGTGTTGGTCTGAGTACCTACCAGTTCGGGCAGACGTGTGGAGTTTGGAGAAGAGGCTCTCTGAGGTCACGGTATTTGCTTCCAGAAATGCCATTCAGTGTGGCCATTGAAGAACATCGAGCATAAATACGACGAATCTGGATTTGTGCTGGCATTTGCATCGTCACGGTACGGAGTGTTCGGCGGGCATAATGGCGTGCGGTAGTCTGGCATGTGCCCAGGTTTGAACTCCTACGGATTCTGTGCCCATCTTTGGAAAAGCTATCGGGAATCGAGTGTGTTACCTGCTGCCGAAACTTTGGCACTTCACCCCGCTGCTGTTTTACTGGCGTCGCTTTGGAGACCCGCCGCCCATAGTTACGTAGAGAAAATTCTCACAAAAGCTTTGGTTAGGCATTACCATGGAGGGGCATACCTTAAACATAAGCTCGCAACGAGCGAGTGAGGCCACCTGATATTAATTCAATGTAACTGCAGGCAAGGATGCTTTCAGAAAAATGAAGAGAAGGGATCCAGGCCAGAAACGATGTCGTCTGGTTAAATGACATGGAACGGAATTCTAAAAGAAGCGCATTCGGCGTAGAACAGAGCTAAACAATTTTGCTGAAAGTGAAGACCGAATGCTTTCGTAGCAAGACCATTATGGTGTGGTGTCTCGGGGCATATTCGCTGTACTCTGGGTATATACCATATCAGGCATGTCTCTCACACCAGCACCAAGATACAGAACACTCTAGTGTCATGGAAGTCACTGCATCAGGCATATCGCGCTCTATGTACAGCTAGACACCAATCATCTAGCCTTAGGAAGTGTTTCGTGCAGCGCTCCCATCGTCACATGTCGGCACTCTCGGAACTCGAGTTTCCCAGTGATGCCATGTGTTCCCACCCGCCCTAGATGTCACGATGGCTTAGAAGAGCAAGAACGAGACCCGCGTGCGGCGGGGTCGCCCTTGCTCCTCCGAGCCATCCCCAACTGTCATATGTTGGGATCGGAGGAGGCTGTCTGGGCGACGCTGCCGCCGCCGCCGGATGACGAGCCGAGCACGTCGTCCGCGGCGTCCGTGCCCCGATACGGCGACGACGAGGGGCCGCGCGGCGACAGACCGCGGAAGTCCAGGTTGTACTGAAACCGCACAGATGTCGCGTCAGGCGCCGGCGCGGGACATAGGGGCGCGCGTTGCGATGGGTAACAGCCAGACAAAGAGCGAGGTAACATGCGGAGCGGCGATTGCCTCGAAAATATGTCCAACGTGCGAACTTAGAGGAGAGGGCAAATCAAAGCGGACCGAGCAAACGAAAGTTACAAAGCCGGCGCGATGAAGGAATCTAGAAGTTTGCTGATTTCCGATCTCCGAAATCGGGCGAGGCGTAGAAGCAAACGGCGCTCGCGGTCGCGGCCAGAGCTTCCGGCAATCACGGGAGCCAGCGAGAAGGCGTCAGGGACAATGTAGACAAGCACGTAAAAACTGTTGCCAACAAAGAAAGCCTCTCGTTGAGCTGTTAAATTTTGATCTCATCATATCTCAGTGCCAGGCCGGCGCTCTTGGGTGACTGGAAGCTCTTTCCAAAGCGCCGGTCATTCTTCAGAGGGGAGGCAGGCAGTCAACACTCACGACACACCAGTCACGCGCAGACGGTACGTACAGAGGCCTCTCGAACGGAGTGTTACCACACAGTATCACAGCACCACGCCAAACACGCCTTTAGGTACACATTCAGGCGGAAGCAGCTGGAGAAAACTCAGCACTGAGCCAACTAGCCCGGCACGCCAGCAGAAGCCCAACGGGACGCGACAGAAGTTCAGACCGGCCGAGACGCGATCAATACGTCTCGGCAAACCTCTGTTCCCTGGAGGTCCTGCAAGAATTTTGGCCCTTGTCGGCTCTGCTGGCGTTCATATTACTCAAGAGGATAGCACTCTAGCTGAAGGTCCTCTCCGTAAAGAGAGGAGACTATTTTCTGCATGGAAGAGTAGAGAAAGGGAAGAAAAGGGACGGGGTTTCCACCGCACCTCGGCTGACGCTGTCCACGCAGTAGTCTGTAGACCAAAGCAGGAATGAAACGTCTAATAACTTGTGAATCAACGTGCATACTAGTACATTTTTACATCGTGACTTGCATGCGCATATTAACTGACGCGAGACAACGCTCCCGCCCACGTTTAGTCGGTCGAGGTGCAGTGGACGCCCCTGCGACGAAGCTGGCTCGGCGTGTCTGCTCTAGTCGGGCACTAAACCCCGCCGGCGGCGCTACCGTCGGGGTACCAGTGCGCACCGGGTGCCGGACAAGAGCTCGAGACCTTCCACCCGCGCCGAGATGCAGACAGGGTGAGAGCAGCGTGGCCGAGCGAGCGAGCGAGAGGGAGAGACAGAGATAGAGAGAGAGAGAAAGAGAGAGAGGGCGAGCGACGGAGGAGCGGGTGAGCCACACTCGGACCGGGTGACAACCAACACGACACGGCACGCCCGTCCGCGCGCGCGAGGCACGACCGATACCTTGGCTAATCTACGCACATCTGTCGGATAAAGGGTATACACAAACGGAAATGGCTTCAAGCTTCGCACCTCTACTGGAGTCGGCAGCGAAACCTCGTACTGAAATGACATGCCAGACATCAGGTCAAGTCACCGGGCGAGTGATGCGGGGCCCATGGCAAAGTCACGTGAGCCAGCGGGGCGGGCACAGCCGAGAGACAGAGCGAGAAGAGTTGAAGTAGGCTCGTGGTGAGCTCACGGAGAACATGCGCTGCTCTGTTGCTTACTCAAGAGGCGATCAGCTATGTGGATGGTGTAGCAGCATATGTGCTGCAACCAGTGGCGAAAAGACTACATAGAAAATTTGTAACGTGTTTGGAGAAAGGTAATGGACGTACGGAACTGCATAAACATACGTTATGCGTGAAAAGGGGTCTATGAATGACAGCAAAATGCTCGTGCAGTTGTTCAGTGCAGGAAAGACTTGGAAAAGCAGCAAGCTCTTTTGTGTCAAATGATGACAAGGGCTCTAATTTTCTAAGGTATTTGTTGAAAATGCGAAGGAATTGCCAAAAATACAGTATCCGCTACACTATGAGAGAACGCCATAGGATGTTAGTTCATGTTTAAGCCACACCTACACCAATTTCATTCACGATATTATGTAATAATATTGCACTAGCAGTTGATAAAAAGAACGCTCAGCTTATGCACAAACAACTCCCAGACATTTTAAAAGCGGTCGTTAAGTAAATATGATTATGGTATTTTTGAAAAGAAAACAACATATTGCCATTCTGCCCAACCAACCAAACAAAACATTACCATTTTTGACATACATCTGTCACCTTTTTACTTTGGCTTTTCCTACAGAAGCCGCTTTACAACAAGACAGCACAAAAACTGAGCCAAACCACACCCAGCCCCCTTCAGTCGGCGTGCTGCGGCTCACGCCAAGCAGGAGGGGCCAAACCGGGGGCTTCCGGCCTTACAACGGAACCTGTTAATCAATCTCTCCCAGCGGAGCCCTCAAAAAGTGTCGATAACCGGCAGCGCGACCGTCGGCCGGTCTATCTGGCGCGCTGCCACGGTCGCGCCAGCTGCAGCGGCGCCGACGAGCGGACCGGGCCGCCCCCAGCGCGGTCGAGCGTCAGCCGGGGCCGTCAGTACCGGCACACGGAGGCCCGGCGCGGCGCGGCGCGGCGCGGCGCCACACAGCGTACAACGACGCGGCACATCCAGAAGCGGCTGGAAGCTTGGCGGGGGCGCCACAACCGCGTTTAGCTTTATACATTGCATCGTTTAGGTGTTGACACCCGTGCAAATGCAGCAATGGTAAAATGGAAGTGATGAGGAACATTGATGAGAACACGATTAACATCGAACACGCAAACGCCCAGGCATAGCAAAACACACGTGACTCGAGCCAATATCTTAGGACAAAGTAACATTATTCGGTTCCAGAAGCTCCAGGTTTGTTTCGTTCAGCGAGCGCCGCAAGACCCGTGAACATAAAAGCCTCCTGAGACGAGCCCGCCGGATCGCGGCCTTAATTCGGGCATAACTCGCGCGTTTCAGACTGCATTGTAGTAAAGCTCGGGCGAGCCCGGGAAGGAGAAGGTTTAGAACCTAACATTACCCGAGCGAATGGCTCCGTTTATTAATCTGTGGTGGTCTTTAGCAAGCTCTCGGACTTCGCAATATGAACAGAGGCTGGTTTACAGCCGGGGCATGGAGGGCGCGGTGTCCCAGATGCCTTCACGATTGGATTTCACAAATTTGACGACCGATATTACTGTCGGTGGCCCACTGGAAGCCAGCAACCGCACGTCAATTTTCCCTGCGGGATGATAATCATCGCTTAGTGACGGGAGTAATATGACAAGGATGCCAAGTTTAGGAGCGCACCGTTGTCAAATCACTCCAGCCGACGCAAAGCTAAATGGTTACCGTACTCGAAGCTGGGGACAAAGTATCCCAGTGGTACGCCAAGCTAAGCACTTTACGCTCCCTAACCTACTAAGCAGGTAACTCTTAGAGAAGAAACCTTTCGAACAAAACGTGCGGGGTAGCAATCGGTTTGGCATGTGCGGATAAAACGGCATGCCAGAATATGACGTTTGCCTTGCTTTTATGCTGTTTTCCCACTTACCTTGCTATAGCGCACGCGAAACAAATATTGACGACCTTGGAGATGACATTCATCGCGCTCTTTGTGTCCTGGATGACGTTGTCGACCTTGGTGAAGGTGGCCCGCCTTGCGACTGTGGGCGTCTTGACGGCGAACTGCAGCTGCTGCACGTGCGTCGGTATCTGATCCAGATACTCCAGCAGCTCCTTCTTGTTGGCGCCCTGAGGCACCTGGGAGTCGGGAGGACAGTCAGGTGCTCGTCTGAACTCGCATTCACGTCCTTAAACGGCTCACATTGGGCCCTGTTCGATTTGTGGGTGGAAGACATGTTGGACTGACGACCCGGCGGGTTAATTAGTGTCGTGGTGTTTCCCGCGCAGACCTGAATACCATTGCCGGCAACAGTCGTGAGGCGCGCACCGAACATGGCTGGGTCGCACCGCCGCACCCCTAAGCGCCGCCCTCCGGCCTGCACGCCGCCAGACGCCGGACGGCCGTTGTCTGGCTCTTCGGCATAAGTTCTGCACAAGTTAGGTCGTGCCAGACACCGACGCGCCCCGACCCCGGCAACGACACAGCGCTCTCGCTCCGAGCTTCCTCGTACGCCCGCTCCCACCCCCGGCCTGCGCCGCTTCCATTGGCTGGCGACCCCTCTCCGGGCTTCCCGGTACGTCCGCTCCCGACCCCGGCCTGCGCCGCTCCCACCGGCTGACGATATCTCCGGGCTTCCCGTACGCCCGCTCCCAGCCCGGCTTGCGCCCGCTCCACCGGCTGACGATCTCTCCGGGCCTCCCGATACGCCCAGCTCCCAGCACCCGGCCTGCGCCGCTCCCATCGGCTGGCGGTCTCTCCAAGCTCCCCGTACGTCCGCTCCCAGCCCCGGCCTGCGCCGCTCCCATCGGCCGACGATCTCTCCGGGCTTCCCGTACGCCAGCTCCCAGCCCCGGCCTGCGCCGCTCCCATCGGCTGGCGATCTCTACTAAGGACGCAACTTTTTTACTCGCCAACCCGCCATATCTGACCCGGCAAGAACCCGCCGCTTTCGTCTCGGGTGTGAGCCGGACACGCGGGCTTTAGTGAGTTGAAAATTTCAACAAGCAAGATGATCGCTTTTTCCTAACATTTAAGTTTGAAGGCCTCCAAAAATCAGCGCCCGCTACCACACACAATACAATCAAAGAAAACAATTTTTTCGTTCGACAGAAAACCCATAACAGGCATAACACACCACTCAACTAGGCCACGCAAAATGAATAGTTATCATCGACACTTCAACCAAAACGTCAAGAATAGGGCCCAGTACCAAGACTTGGCCTGATTTCAGTAAGCAGTGGTAAGGTGCGGCTTTATATCCACAAAGAAACAACCTGTGCTTTGGCTGTTGTCGTGACAGTGAATTGCAATCAAATTTGCCGTTTTATAAACAAGCATACCTGAGAATCACCACAAATTATAACTGAAATAATCGAAAGCTTGTGTGAATTCAATGTCATGGCCTCGCCTCGCTTGAGCAATGATCACTCTGTGTTTCTTGCTGTGTCACATTTTCACTTTCTATGAAAGTCTGATAGCTGGGGTGCAGACTAAGATGAAGTCTGTTTATTACTATCTTTTTATGCATGCAAGAACATGCAACTTACAACCGCAAGAAGAGGGACTCTGGCGTGCACATAATTTCATCTATACACAGGTATAATTGGGTACAAAAATCCAGTTGTACATATGTCCTTCAATCGTTCGGTATAATTCCAACAGTTGCAGCCATTTGGCCATGTGGACGGCTATCTCTGCATCATGCCAATGACCAGTTGTTTTCTAAGAATAATTTTTTTACTAGGATTAACGATAGCTTTCCTTGTAGTGTTTGCTAAAATGATGTCATTCGATTGGCAGTGGCAGCATTTTTGACACTAAGTGATTATGTTATCCTTGTACGCAGCGCCCCACATGTAGCGTGTGGATGTTCTTCCAAGAGAACACAATAATGATTCGAGTGGAGCATGAAATCACTTCAAAGCTGTCGTTCAGTATTGCTACCGTGTTGTTGCTCGATTGTATCTGCTTTAGGACAGCAAACACCATATGAGAGCTCTGAACGTTCCTTCCTGAATCCGGGTTTAACTTTGCAGCCGCTGTGGCACATTCGCCTGCTGTGAGGCAGAGAGGCTGAAACGTCCAATGATAGCAGTAGTTTCATGAAGAGCATGACTCGACTTTCCCAAAACCGTATATTAGTTTTGCTCGCGTTACATTGCAATGAACTACGGAGACCTACCAAGAATAGGAAAACAATCCAGCAGTTCTTTACCTCTTTGCCAAACAAAGCATCTGTTGATGCAGTTTTTTAGAAGACCTAGCCCATGAAGTGATACATTGGTGACATTTCTTATGCATTTTGGTAAGGGTTGAAGTCGAATTCCACCATCTTCCTTCTCAGCTGTAGTTGGAAACTGTCATCGCATTATCAAAGGTGTAAGTTGGCGCCACGTATATTTCATAGTCTGTGTTTTACTACTGCTATCTCAGCCCAGCTAATGGTATCAGGTATACAGGTTTGTGCAAGAGATGGAAGTGATACCATATTTAATGAGCTTTGCATGAATAAGTATAAAATTAAGAGCCAAATGCTTACAAAAACAGCAGGCACCGAACCCAGTACTTGCAGACTGATGCCGGATCAGCATGGCGTCAGCATGGTTTGCGGGCCAAATCCAGCGTCGGCCGGGGCCGGTCGAGATGCGGGCTGGCAGTTTCGAAAAAAAGTTGCGTCTGTCATTTTGATCGGTGCGGCAAGTGCGGCCAGATTGCTATCAATACAAAGCGGGGCGCTCAATCTAATGCTCTCACTTTTCGTCCGCTGGAGAAGAACATCTACAGCAGCAACGCTGGGCTATCTAGCGACTTCCTCTCCGCTCGGGGCCTAAGGCACCCCGTGGGGGTGCATCTGGCGCGTGACGTCCTCACATGCTATCAGCCGAGCGTCGCCAAAACGACATGCAGCGCCGCGATCGTCTTCCTCGTCCCGGCGGCGAAATGCGGGACGCTACCGGCCGGCGTCGCCGGGCGCCCGGTCCAAATTCCATTATGCGGCGATAATGGCATTGTCTCGCCGCCGAACTGCGCCCGTTGACGAGGCGACGACTCGTAGTTACCGTTCAATAACACAGCGGCAAACACGACCGGATGCGGCCGCCTCCCAATTAGCGCTAATGGAGTGCGGATCGGGCTCGGCGCGATGCGAACACGCGCTCGGCCGCCGCGGCCGGAGGGCCTGGGAGCGAATGGCAATGTGTCGGCTGAGTGACAGAATGTGTCTCACCGCCGCCGATCGGCCGGCCCGAGGCCTGTGCGGCGGTCTGCGGCATCGTGGGCACATGTGTGCTGGCTGCGGTAGTCTGCTGCTGTTTGGTCGGGACAGTATTCTCCTGCTAGGCGGGTTAGGAATTTCGTGGTCGTGATCGGATTTGGCCTCAGCTAGACTTTTGCAGCACTACCGGCAACATGCCATATTTCTTGACCCTAGTCACCATGGCCTGGCGTCAGAGTCTCAATGTCGGAGGACATGTAAAATACGACGGCTCGGTACGATCAAAGGGAAATATTCTACATTTGAGAATATTAAAGCAAGCAGCAGGTATGATGAAATAAGCTCTCTTGCAACTATAAGTATACTTTAAATGGTAAAGATCGCTCTAGACAACGGTATTTCTCTGTTTAGTGAAAATGCCCATCAATGCGTCATTGTGTTGATTACGTCATCGTGCCTTGCCACAACATTTATCGAGGGCCAACTGAACGCCGCCACATCTGAAATCATGTTCAGGAACACAAATATGAGCAACTCGATAATCATATTTTTATGGCACTGAACGCCACAGGGCCAATGGAACGACAAGGTTTTGAATGATGTTATTATGGCGTCATAAATGTCTGGGGGACGCTGAAATAGCCAACACAGCTTCGCAGGCATGCCACTCAGAAAGCTAGAGGGGTTATAGGTCTCAGAAAGGCGGGGCTGTGACCTGCAAGTGGAATGATCTTCAAGATGGCGGTGGCGATCCCAAAACCCCATATCAATGTGAAACAAGGCCGTTTATGAACCGGCAGTAGTTTCACGAATTGAAACCCGTGTAAATGTGGGGCTACAAGAAAACCCCATTACGGGTTTCTCTGTAGCAGACATAAGGCTCGAAAATTCATAACGAAAGGCAGGGGTCCAACAACCCCATGCAAACAAAAACTCATAGACAAATGTAATATACATATAGTAATATATTGATAATATGTTAATAATAATATAATGCAAGATATAGATATAATAGAAATAATAATATAGCAATCATATATAGAAAAATCAATCATGTGTAAGCGTTAAAATCAAATATAAAATGTGGAACGATCCCTTCAAGGAACTATCCCAGCCAGAGTGATTCATATCAGTGCTCACCATGCTGAATACAGTAACTTACGAGTCATTGCTGCGAAACAATGTTCAAATAAACTCAACGAAAACGAGACAGTCCGTCATACCAAGCGCGTCACCTTTGGCATCGTCCCTGTCGCATCCCCTCCCACCGTCAGCCCACCTCGACCGCTCACCTGATAAGAGAACTGTCGCACCACCTTGTAGAGCCGGTTGGCTTCCTCAGTGAAGTACTCGGCTTGCGTGAAGAGGTCCTGCGTGGTCTTGAGAATGCCATCGCCCCGTGTGAACTGGTACATGCCGAGCGCCATCTGCGACATGGCCTTGGCGCGGCGCAGGATGTCGTTGTCCTCGTCGCTGGCCTCCTGCCACTTGTCCGTTTCGGCGGCCATCTCGTCGTTGGCCAGCTTCATCTCGAGGCCCGACTTGGAGATCTTGGCCTGCTCCTCCTGGTCCAGCGGGCCCGGCCGTACCTGTGATCAGCGGAGGGTAAAGTCGCTGGCCGCGTCGGGATGGTGCCCGCCAGCGCGGAACGTCAGCCGCTAGGAGGAACAGCTGAGCGAATGCAGACAACTGCTGCAGGAAACCAATTGCTGGTGTGGAACGTCCGCTGGGGAAACGGCCGGTCAGGGAAAATACCGCGGTGTGGAGCGGTTTTTTTGTGTAAAGGGAAGATGTGCTGGCACCGCTTCTGAGGCGTTGGGGGAGAGTCCGGAGTCGACGTGGGGAACCCGACCGTCGCTGAGCTAGCGGCTACAGTGGATTTAAAGGAATGGCCTCAGCCAAGGGGACATCAGGAGAAACTCCATGGGCTTGGAAACGTCGCAGCTGGGAAACTGCTGACCAAGGGTCTGGATCGGCCTCCGTCGAGGAAGGATAGCCCCGAGAAATAAGTGCAAAAGCAATTGAAATGGATAATAAAAAGAGTCACTTTACATGGTCATAGCTGTCAGAAAGTGACATTGTTTATCGCGAACAAAATAACGGGTGTAAAGGCCGCAGGAGATGACGCCAATAAGAAGAACATATGCATGTAAAATGTCCGCGAGATTCTGCAAAATGCCCGTGGGGCTCCGCATTTAACTGACACGTTTTCGCACATCATCTCCTCCAATATCTCCTACTTGCGCTTATAAAACGCCGCGCAACAAATGTCTGACCATCTGCCTTTCTTCGCCAGAACCAATACCAGACTCTGTTCGTGGCACTGCAGCCTGAAATATTGCTGAAATGACAGCAGCTGAACCGCCCCTGGATTTCATCAGCTTCGTCCCCTAGCCAAATGGCTGACCACTCGCCGTCCGTCCGCGCAAGAGTCAGTCCCGGATCTGGTCCCAGATATGGCCGTGCGTGCTGCTACCGGACTGACGGCAGTCGAACTGTCTCCGAGTCTCATCAGGTTCGTTCTCCGACCAGCACGTGCTCATGAAGCCCCTGCAGGGCAGATCCCAGAGCCGCCGCTCCCAGGAATAAGCCCCGCAAGCCGCCGCTCGAGGCGAATCTACGGCGCCATTTGTGTTTTCATAAGAGGAGCGTAAATCTCCGACATCGGCCCAGCACCGGCCGAGGGTCTGGGAAACTTCGACCCGAGCGACGCGGCGCGCAGGCCGAGCACGGCCCCGCGCGGCGTGGAGCAGGAAAATGGTGGACAGCACTCTGTCCGCACGTTCGATGTGACGGCGCGAGGGGAGTGCCAAACTCGAATCAGTTCGAAAACGATCACCGTGCAGTTTGCGAGTCTCGCGAAGAGCCCGATCATTGCTGACCAGATACATGCCCCAAGTGATCGAGATATTCGAGACTCCCACGTGCCAACCATAGGGCGGTCGTTCGTGGCGGTGACGTATCAGAACCCTAGAGCAGCGCATTGGGGGTGACGTGCGGTGTAAAACACGGCCCGTTGCATCGAACACAATTACGGCGGAAGCTCTCAGCACTCCCATCGGGCGCAGCCCTCAACAATC